GTTAATTTTTTTAAGAGCACTTACGTACATAAGAGCTAAATTGTGAAGGGCTTTGAAGGAAAGGATCATTCATCCATCTAGAAGATAGATCTGAAGCATAGTGCCAAGATCAACTAGAAAACTGAGCTCGGCAGCTGTGTTTTAAAAGGACCCAAGGTAGGTGTAGTTAAGGTTAGAGAGGAGATGATTCCACTAGTCAAGTCACGAGATGAAACAAGGTTTGACAATGTGGACAAGTAAAGAGTTGGTTCTTATAGATCTTGAAATAGAGAAATTGGAAGATTTGAATATAGCTTGATTACAAGTGTTGAAATTCATATGAAGTCTTGATTGGTGGCCATCAGAAGTGAGACAGAAAAGATGTTTTGGCAGGAAAAATGGAGCTCACTGTTTGCCAAGTTCAATTTAAGTTGCCAGATCAGTGAAAACAGTGGCTTTCAATCTTTCCAGATTACTGTACCCATTTCAAGAGTTTGATTTGTCTTGCATATCCCAAGTTTGACCTTGCTTAAAAGCTTACAAAATCAGCAAGGTGTCATGGCATACTATTACTGAAAAATTGCTTTTTATGTAGCTGATTGTAAAACTAGGCAAATATCCTAGATGTATCCTCTGAATACTCCGTGGGGTACAAAATACTGCTTGTGTTGAAACACAAGCCAAGTGGAATAGATTCTGAGTAGTGAGGCATGTGTTTGAGTCATAAGCACAAAGATAGTGGCTAGGACCCATTAAAGTGAGTAAGATTGCCTAGACATTTTGTGAAGTACAAAGGGCAGATATATAGGCAGACGCTACAGAAAGAGAATTGGAAGAAAGACTCAGTAAACAACATGCTAAAGGGAATAAACATAGTAGCAAAGGAGAGTCATGGGAGGATGGAGCCATGAAAGCTGATAGTGGGCAGTGTGTCAAGTACTAGATGGCGATCAATGTCACAAGGAGAGAAGATGAAGCAGAAGCCCTCTGCTTTGTCTAGAAAGAAGACAGTGGAATGAAGAGGAAAGAAGTTGGGTGTTTGAGGCAATGACTGCAAATGAAGTTGTCAGTTTGGGCAATGATTGGAAAGGCAAGTGAGGTCAAGGTTGAGGTGTTTAAGATGAGGGAGACTAAAGGATGCTTATATCGTGAGGGGAAGAAAAGTGAGAATGAAGCCAAAGGGGATGAGCAGTGGGATGGGGTCCCAGGAGCAGATGGAAAGGCTAAAGAGCAACAAAGAAACCTCAGTGTTAGCAGGTGGGTTATCAGGCCCTGGAGGCAATCATGTTTAAGATCTGTTAACTGTCAGATCCCAGAGAGAAGCACAGCACATGCACTGAAGACTGCCTGAGGGGGAATAGGGGAGAGCATGAGCAGCTCAAAATTTTCTGACTACACCATCTCTGCAAGTCACAAAGCACTCACCTGGGATGTGGGAGAACAGAGTTCAAGTACCTTCTAGAGCACATCCCACTTCCCAGGTGAGTAATAGGGATGTAAGCAAGTAATTGCGTTATAACCCGTGCCTGTAAAATACCTTATGTCTACAGACTAGGGATGTAGTTGACTAACAGATAAAGCCAGGCTTATCAGTCAGTCAAGTTCACTACTCGCATTCTCCCTCCCCCTCTCCCTCTGTATTAGAGGCAGCAAGGGGGGAGCTGGCTTAAAAGCCAGTCCCCCCCAACACTGTCTCCATGGTGCTGCCTGTCTCTCTCCCCCCCCACCCCCGGTGCTGCTGCCCCTATCAGAGAGGGGTGTGTGTGTGTGTGTGTGTGTTCGTTCCCCCCCAGGTGGGGGAAACTGCCACAAAGCAGCCTCAGCCCACAGTGGGCCCAGGCTCAGCCTGGGTCTGGGACCTACCCCTGCAACACCTCTGCAATTTAAATGCAGTAGAAGCTGGAGTGCCAGCATGCCTGGCTCTTGCTACATTTAAATTGCAGAGATGCAGCAGGGGTAGCTCCTGGACCCTTATTGACTAATCGTGTAGTTGATAAAAATTGTATCAACTACACGATTAGCGGATTACCTGCCTCTTAACATCCTTAATGAGTAACCACTGGGCTAGGACTCGTTCCTATTGCAGGGCTTCTACCATATAAGCAATTAAATATTCACTGGAGCAGGGACTTGAATCTGTCTCCCACATCCTGAGTGCCCTAATCCATGGGCTTTAGTCAGTCTCTCTCTCTCAATATCTATGCATACATATAAGAATAGCAGCTCTGACGTGAGAGATTGAGACTCGTTCCAGAATATCCTGTAGCTTGAAATTCCTGCTCCAAATTATGCATGCTTCCAGCTGTGTTTTGGGGCATGTATCAATTCTTAGGTATGCTCAGCCTATGGAAGCAGCCCCTGGTAGCAAGATAGGCTTGAAAATTCTGCTTTGGGGCTCAAGTTGTGGATTGGACAACTGGTGTCAGGACTTTGGCACTTGAGTCCCTTAGACTCCTACTAGATTAGATTGAATCTGACTGATGGCTTTGGAAAGTACCAATGGTACCTGAACTATTGGACTTAGCTATCTAAATAGCTTTGTGAATCTACCATTAGCCCTGTTCCACAGGTAGAGAAACTCAAGTACAGAGCAATGAAGGGACTTGACCAAGGTCCTCTAGCAGGTTAGGAGCAGCACTAAGGTCCCCTAACTCCCACTGTTTCCAGTGATACCCTTTGCTTCATGGTCTCAGCTTTGTCCAGAACAATTACTCTTAGTTCACAGGAAAGAAGTCATGTGGCTTTTGGATGACTTCTGCTTATTTTTCTTGGATGGAGAACTTTTTGCAAATAGAAAGTGAAAGATAAGAAATGGTATTTTCTCCTCATTGGAAGAGAAGTAACCTTTGTGAAGGGAAACTTTCCCAGAAGAGGAATAGAAAAAAGGATAAATGCTTGCTACAGCCATAAAATAAAATCAGGCCCTTACAAATGCAGCAGGCAAAGCCACTGGCTGATTGAGCAATTCTTATAATTCTCTTCAAAGTGCTTGAGCTATGTATGTCCTAAGAAAGAAGTGTGCAAGCCATTTGTGAATGATAATGGAGACATTATGTAAAAAATAACATTGCAGTTATGTGCCTTTTCCTACCCAAAGTGAAACATTGTCTTTAACAGAAAAATATTGCAGTTACACAGAAGCACATGTGCACAGGTGTTTAATTAGGGCCCATACATGAGGTACTTTTAATTTGTGCTAGTGATGTTCACAGATTATAGAAAGAGGTGAAGTGGGTTTTGAAGAGTCCTAGCGCCTGTGATTACTTTACACAAACAATCCCAATAACTTAGTGAGCAGGTTTCGATTTTCTGTATTATTTCAAAATCATTTAAAAAATCTCCTACTGAAACAGAACAAAGGCCAAAGTTTAAAAATGGATATTTAAGGTGAACTGATTTAATTGAACTTTTGTTTAAAATGAGTGTTTTCATTTTCAAACAGCATAGTAACTTCACTTATGAATTTGGTACTTGATAATTCTGAAAAGCTCAGTAGAGCCCGGCAAATCTGCTTTATATCCATGGGTATCTGCAGCTGTGTATGCAGATATCCACGGTTCATTTTTGTGACTACAGATGCAGATACAAAATTTGTATCTAGAACCCTGCAAACCTTTTATGTCTGCAGGTATCTGCATCTGTGGATCATTTTTGTGGACGCGGATACAGATTTTGTGTCCATGTAGGACTCTAAATGTCAGGCTCTCCTCAGCTTTTAAAATTTCAGGTAGCTTTGGAAACAGCAGTGCCCTGACTTAACACTTTAAGGAGATGTTAAAGATCAGATCTCTCATCCACTGATTGGGGCAAATACTTAAGAGGCATTTAGGGTATAGTCATAATGGCTCATCCAGTGCTCTGAGTGGCAGTTATAGCCAACTTTAAAATTATATTTGATTCCAGATTGAGCCTGTAATGAAAAAGCAATATCTGGGTTTTTAAAAAACCCTCTTAATATGTGATATTTGAAACTAAGCAAATATACGTTCAATAGCTAGCTACATGTGACACAGCAAGATGATTACTAACACTTTGAAATGACCAGTGTAGGTTACAGCTAGCATATGGAACCTCAAGTTGGGCACAGTCTTCTTTAAAAGTAATCGAAAAAAAATCACCAATGTGAATAATGCTGCCATCCACAGACCTAAGTTTCTTTAAGTTCATTTAATTCTGTGCACCATATGATTAACCAGACCTCTGAGTCATAGGTCATGGCTAGTAGGTTTTAGACCAGCTTTCCTCCTCCTGTTGGGGAGAGAAATTTTATTCTGAGCACACTAACAATGCTGTTCACTGGTTTGATCAAATAACTGTCAGAATAAAATCTGTCTACAGTTGACAGGAAAATTTAAGAATTCTGCCATCCACAACCATAGCTATTGCAGTGGCTACTAGGTAAACCTAATATGGTCATAGACAACATTGAAAATAAAACTATGTCTCACATGAAAAAAGACTTACAAAGTTTCACTCTAACAGAGCCAGCTCTGTTGCAGAAAAGCAAATAGGTGCTGAGTTGTTACTTTAATTGTAAGGTTTTTTTCAAACCTAACAGGTAGAAAGTGTAGCCATGAGGGGATGGGAGTAGAAGTGAGAAACTTTCACCAACAGGTTGGTTCAATAAAAGACAAGTTCTTGAAGTACACAGACTGCTACTTCTTTCCCCAAGCTCTCCATAGTGCAAAAGCTGCCTCTTTCACCAACAGAAGTAATAAAGTAAAAAAATTCACTCTGTTCAATCCATGATTTTTAGTGTCTAGCAAAGTTATCCCAGTATATCTGTTTTATGTATCTTAAGCATTTGTGCTTTGAGCCCTAGTGTAGGGCAAATTATTACCATTACATGAAGAGCTTAAATTAATCTGCTTAAACAAATAGAGTAATAGCAGAAGTTTCTCAGACTAAGAAAAAAACTTGAAGTGGAGCCTTAAATACCTAAAAGGGTGTATCATAGCACTGGTTTGAAACAAAGAACTTTAAAGTTTTGAACCAGAAATGTGGACTCAAATACCAAAACAGTGACTTTGTTTTCTTTAATAAAAGCAGGACTAAACTCTTACAACAAGAGATAATTTAATCCCACATATATTGTACACTGAAACCAGCAAACATTGTCAAGATGCTTTTGTTGTAGGTTCATTGTAAATTCAAGAAACAACTTATCTTCTCCTTTTCACGTTAGGATCATATCTGCAGTAAGAGGAAAAAAATGTCATAAGTAAACAGTTATCTACTATTTATTTCAAGTATTCCAATCTAAATGCTTCATTTTAACAGTTAAAAATTGACATTTCCTTTTCTGAGTGGGGGGCAGGAGGACAGCTTTGAGTGAACAGCTTTGGGGAGTGTTTAACCTTCCGTGGGACTTCATTTTATTGCCAGTAAAATAAAGAGTTACACCTGGACTGTGCCATTTCTAGAATTTGTGAGTTTTTGTTAAAGGTATCTTACTACTGTCTGGGATTTTTAAATGTCTTAATATTGCAGTCAAAAGAAAATCCAGACATTTCACCATGAAAACGTATTTCTTGATTCAATATTAACCTATGAACATTCTTACAAGAACTTCCTCCCACAAACAATGAAGGTACCGATAGCAACTTTGTCTCATGCTACAGCTCAGTTCACAGACGCTATTACCAATTCCTTCCTCTTCTCATACTTGATTCTTCTCCAGCTCCTTCCTAGCACTTGATCTTTTAATTATTTTTTTTCAATAAAGTACAAAATGATTAACTAGTGTCTAGGAATGTGTTTATACTTTTTGAATTCAAACCCTGACCTTTTCTCTCTCCAATTTCTGCCTCCAGCCCAAGAAAAAACAAAAAACCCTTTTCCTCTAACTTGCTTTGTTTTCACAGATGAATAGGTTACAAGCCCTACTCAATGATCAGGCAGTTTTACTTCCTTAAGTCGGATTTCATTTATTAAGCTTTTTTTCCTACCCCTGTCCTAACACAGGAAAATGTCACAACTTGTGAGCCAATTTACTTCACCCCTTAACTAGAAATGTATTACAGGTCATTGCTGTCACTAGGCAACTCATTTATCCTTTTTTGGGAAAAAGAAATAAACTGTGAATAATTAGCACAGGCTTCATACTGTTAATACACTTCATTTGGAAAAGCTCCTTACCAGTTTGAATATGCTATCTTCTAATGCTTTATATTGCACTATGCTAGTTCAACTGGTGAATGTTCTGCAATAGCAGTCCTTTAAAAATATTGGTTAAATTAGATACAACTGATAGCAACTCAAGTCTCACAATTACTGCTAGTTCCTTCACATAGGGAAACATACAGGACGTACTTTTTTTGGCTGAGTGAGTAAGAACCTTAGCAGCGTCCATGCCTGTCCTGCCCCCACATACTGCTCAAAGTGGCCATCTGTGGGGGCCACATGCAGGGCTGGCCCGAGCCATTTTGGCATCCCAGGCGCCGGGCGGGCAGTGCCGCCCCGGGTGCACAGCGCGTGTGCGGGTAGGCGCACGGCATGTGCGTTGCCTCACCACCGGCATGCAGCCCGGTGCCGCCCAGGCGGGCTGCACCTGGCCATGCAGGGCCCCGCAGCCGCAAGGGGAATGGCACGCCGGGGGTTAATGCAGCCCGCTGGGAGCCGGGCGCACAGCACCTGATGGCAGCTACAAGGAGCGCTGCACGCCCTTTACAGCTGCCATCAGGCGCCCCCCCCATCAGTTGGCGCCCCGGGCAGCTGCCCCACTTGCCCACCCCTTAGTCCGGCCCTGGCCACGTGCTTCTCTGAGTGCCATGAGCCAGGAGGGGAGAGGTTTCGCTCACTACCCCACCCCCAGCACAATCCCCAGGCTTGCAGTGCTGCAGGCAGCTCTTTTGAGTGGCGTGTGAGGGCATAAAGGCAGGAAACTTGTCTGAGACACCTGCTGGCTGGGAGCCACCTAGGTAAGCACCTCCTGGCCAGAGCCTAAACCTGGCACTCCAGCCATTCCCCCATCCCTCTGCTCCCCTCCTGCACCCATCCTTCAGGTGACAACCCAAACCGTCTGCACCTGCACACATATCCCCAATCTCCCCAGGTCACAATCTAAAACTCTGAATCTCCTCTTGAGTCCTTGCCCCAGGTTACAACTACCTCCCAGACCTTGCATCCCCTCCTCCAGGTCAGAATCCTCTCCTGCATCCATAGCACCACCCAGTCATTGTACCCCTATCACTAACACGCCTCTGCACCCAACCTCCATTAGTATCAGTCATGGTTTTTAGTGTCTAGCAAAGTTATGAATTTCAGCTCCTAGGCTCATCTTTTGAAAATGTGTGGGTTTCGTTTGAGGATAAGGACTGAGGTCAGACACAGCATGATCACTCAGTGAAAAATGTTCACCCACAAGTGTTAATGTGGAGCACCCACCAGCGAGCTCCATGGATCATTGTTTTTCCCTCCCTAGGGGCACCTCCTACCGGCTGCTATCCACTGTTTAGAGACAGGCGGGAGGCAAGGCCATAGCCTGCTTTGTGGAAGGGGGCTGAACTGGGCAGAAAGCAATGTTCCCTGTAAGCAGAGCACTTGGCCGGCTGCCTAGGAGAGATTTCAATGTTACCCAGCTGAATGGCAGAGTGCCCACAGCCAGCAGCATGTGTTTCTATTACTGGTGCACATCTGCATTTTCCTTGGTGCCCTTAACAAATTTATTCTGCCCATAGATGGAAAAAATTAGAGGGAACTCTGGTAGGAAGTGAGGCATGGGGTTGCACACCCCTGGACACTCTGAAAAGTTGGCAGTAGTGGGGATAGGGATTTTTTGTCCTATTTTCCTATTAGAGTTCAGTCAAGAGCATAACTATTTTCTGGCTTTACCGCCTAATGAGTCAGGCCAACTCTAGTAAACTGTTTGCGAGAGTCATGATTTCAGAGTAAAATTAAGGCTCACTTGTGATCTCTCAATGGAGCTCTCAAATGTAGGATTTCTTTTCATATTTCCAATCAAACAGAAGTTACCCCACCTTAAAGGAAGGCATGTGATTTCTCCATTAGGTAGTTAATTCTAAAGTACTTTGAAAGACAAAGAGAATTCATTTACGTATTAGCTTTGAAACTAGCAAGTGAAAGTGGGTCTATACCACAGCAGAGGAGAGAAATTTCACATGGGCTATGTCTACACCACAGCTAATGTTGGCAAAATACATGTTACTCAGGGTGAATAAATCACCCTTTCCATGAGCAACATAAGTTACACTGACATCAGTGTCAGTGTTATTTCAGTGACATAGCTACTTGTCCCCAGGGGGGAGGGGCTGGAGCAGTTATGCTGACAGGAGAGCTCTCTTGTCAGCTTGAAGCAGCCACACTAGTAGGGAGTAGAGATGTTAATTATCAGTTAATTAATCAATCGATGTTGTTAAGGGGACACTCCCGCTGGGCTCTTACTTCATTTAAAGGGCTGAGCTGCAGTGGGGTTAACTCCTGGGGGGCAGCGTGAGCTTTTAAGCCGCGTCTCTCCCCGCCCCCAGCACTGGCTCCTGCTCTCCCCCTTGCTACCTCTGATATAGAGGAAATGGGGGAGGGCAACTAGTTGAGTACTCACTCAACTACCAAATAAGTCTATGCTTATTGGGTAGTCAACTACTAAACTAGTTGCTTACATCCCTAGTAAAGAGTACAAACTCTCTAGTGCAGTGGTTCTCAAATTGTGGGTTGGGATCCCAAAATGCATCAGGACTCGTTTTAATGGAGTCACTAGGGCTGGCATTAGGCTTGCGCAGGCCTAGGGCTGAAGCCCAAGCCTGAACACCAAAAAACCTCCTGCCTTTGAAAGGTCTAAAAATGAGGCTTAATTTTACTTAAAAATCCTGTCAGCTGCCCCAGTATGGCCACTGCTGTTGTCAGCCCCGGGTGGCTGCTCCCTGCCAGCCTGGAAAGTGGGAGAGGGGACCCTACTGCAGCTTCCCAGGTCTGAGGTGAGTGAAGAACCCAAAAGCGCAGAGGTGGGACTGAAGTGAGAAGGGGAGAGGGATGAGTTTAAAATGTTGACACTGTGAATGATCTCTGAGTGCTGCTTGATTGGTTCTGCTGATCACAGGCACCTGCAGCTGCTAATACTACATGGCACAGGCCCTGCTCCAGCGAAGTTTTTCAAGATCAAGCCCATACTCAGAATCTGTCCAGTAGCAACAGGCTTCAGTGTGTCAAAAAGTAAAATATCTGTTACAAGTTTCCACCTTTCAACAGATTTACACAAATAGAGTAAATATTAAAAGCAACACAACAGTACATTGGAGCTTAGACATAACACTATGGTGAAGAGTGTTTTAAAACATGTCCAGCATGTGTGATGATAAAAATGGAGGCATTATTTGATGGTTTGTATACTTATTACTACCACTTCAAAACAAACATTCTGTGGCAAGCAGCATTCTTTAATTCAGTTTTGTAATCATATTTATAGGGTGCATCTACACTGCACCATTATTTCAAGATAACTAGCGTTATTTTGAAATAACAATGTAAGCGTCCACACAGCCATTCCATTATTTTGAAACAATTTTGAAACAACAGACGGTTTATTCCGAAATCTGTAAATCTCATTCCACGAGGAATTAACACCTATTCTGAAATAGCTATTTCAAAATAAGAGATGTGTAGGTGCTCCACTGCAGCTATTTCGAAATAGCCCCTCGCCAGGGCCATTCTAAGTTATTCCTCTCCAGTGCCTCCTGGGGCTCTAAATCAAGATAGCACATCTATGTTGGGGAAGCCTGCCTTGGACTAATTTTGAGGCTTCCCTGCAGTGTAGATGCTATTTTGGATTAACTATTGCGGAATGCTTATTTCAAAATAAGTGTGCAGTGTAGACGTACCCGTAGACTAACCATAAGGTTCAGTCTCCTATCTTGGGCCCTACCAAATTCATGGTCCAATTTGGTCAATTTCATGGTAATAGGATTTTAAAAATCATAAATGTCATGTCAACAATTTACATCTGAAATTTCACAGTGCAGTGTCCTCATGCCAAAAAGGAGTTTCATCCTAGGTGTCCTCATGCCAAAAAGGAGTTTTGCCTAGATTTCTATCCTTTTTCCCAGAGGAGTTTCAATTCTGCAAATTGTGATTTTTTTGCATAACTTTGTCAACTGTAAATTAAGGAGAGCTGGAATTTTTCTGGGTTCTCCCACCCCTAGTTGAATGTTCCAACAGTAGCAGATTTAACGAGCAATCAAATAATAATGAATTATAGTGTCGGTGAGGGTGCAAATAAGGACTTCACTAAGTGAAAGTGTGTAAATAGAGCGTCACACTTTTGATTACTGAAAGAAAAAAGTATTTCAGCAATCACAAAAAGCTTCATACCAGGTTACAATATCTAATGTTCCTAGAAGGGAGATGAAATGGCAACAATTCAAATCTGAGACGACTCTAGTTACCAATAAGACTAGTAGTTTTGAATTTTATATTGAAAGGAGTCATGTACAGCCCAGAAACTGATGAAGTTTAAGGTATAAAGAAAGTTAGGAAAGAGCAGAAGACATTGTCAATTTGGACACATTCTACTCGAATTGGTATAAAGAAAGGCGGTAGGCAAGTAAAGCATTAGCCATCATGGTTTGATTAGACAAATGAAACTAGTCCAGAAAATAAATGAAGTGATGTATAACATATCAAGTCTTTTAAAAGCAGTAACAAAAAATCCCTTACCTAAAGAGATCATCAGCGAGCGATTCCTCTCTTGCATGCCGATTCTGCTCCTAACAAAAATCAAGTAAATCTCTTTAATATTATTCATACTAGCACAATAATCCTGTCCTGAAATATCTTGCTGTGAATACCTCACATACAATGTGTTTTACAGGAGTGTCACATCATGGTTTTCAATTCTGAAAGTAAACTGCAGTTACAGAACACCATCTGAAAAATGACCAAACACTGTAGTTGATGCCCAAATCACTCTCAACTACCGTATACACAAAACCCTCAAGCACATACTTATTTGTGCTTTGAACTTGCATGGGTCCAGATACTGATTAAACCCAGAGCTGTGGTTTAACTCAGACTAGAAGTCACCCACTTTGCAGTGAAGATGAAGGTAAGATCACTTGAGTGCTGACAGTCCTACAAAGCCCTTTCCCATAATTCCCTCCAAAGGACCGAGAAGTTCTCCCAAAATTTACTGGGAGAAAATATCAGAAAGGTTCTCCACAGAAACATCATAGGCTATGCTCCCAGACATTCATGAATGAGGACAGAAATAATGAGGATGGTAACAGAGGGACATCTTTGCTGTGGGAATGCTTATATGCAGGCAAGTCTAACCCAAAAGCTCAGACCCAAGAGTCACTTACCAGAATTAACTGTGTCAGACAAAAATGAAGGGGAAAGAAAAACATCGAGGTATTTTGCATTAATTGTCCTGACTGAACTTTCAAAATCAGGAATATCTCACTAAAACTGCAAGAAGCCTATTAGTTGCCCAACATTTTCAGTTTTAACCACTGGAACTAGTTTAGCAGTGTTGTGAAGCCAGACTCCTTTAAGCAAGGGCGAGTAGCTGTAAGTTAACTTACACTGTGCCAAGGAAATCCAAGTTAAAGTAATGGTTGACCTACGTTAGCTTGCAGCTGCCTATACCTTCCTATTACTGACTTTTTCCTTCAATGCTACTATCTTTCAGCAACTGAGCCTACACTGCACCAACTTTGAATTCAGTAATTAAGTCCATTCTAATATAGGTGGTGAATTATAAGGATAAGTAAGTGGTATGTTGCAAGTCAAAGTAAAAATCTATACTAAGTGTAACATGTACATTTTGATGGCAAAAAAAGAAAGGAACAAAAAGAAGCTGCAAATTACACCATTTTAGATTGTCCTCTGAGTTTGACCCCTTGTGCTATATAAAACTTTAAGCACTGAGCTGGATAAATGCTGAACATCCACAACTAAAGACAATACACTCTACAGATCTTTAGCATCTCTCCAATATCCAGCATGATACCTTTTTATGCAAACTATACTCTAAACTACCTTAAAAAAATGTGGGTAACAGCATACTCTCAAACTATGGTCTGTTGATTTCATCTAACCAGAGTTGCTTCTGTTATGGAAGTAAAGCATCTATGTCTGCTTTCAAGAGGGGATACTTTGGTAATTGGAATCCAGACTATGATTATTTTAGGGCTTCCAAAGGCTTTTTAGCTATCTGAGTTGAACCATGAGATGGGAAAAAAGTCAGAACCTCTCTGCTTCAGTTCTTCCTAGCTGGTCTTCATACAAATTCAACAATGAGTACATCTGTGGTCGATGCCAAATGAGGATAACAAGCACACAAAAATCATTAATTTCAGAGTGGCCAGAAGAGATTACTGAAGTGCTATACTGCAAGGTAAGATCCAGTGCTGAAACCAACTGCTAAAATCAGGGAGAGGAAATAAACAGCAGATACAGAAGTGGAGGTAGGAGTAAAAAAATCACCGATCAAATTCTCCCCCTAATACTGTCCTATTACCTTTTCAATTAACCAAGTAATACTGATACCACAGGAAAGATATGGAACCGGAAGAGGGAGACTGGGATAGGATGTGGCCCATGAGAGGAGCTTTTTTAAAGAAAGCCTACAAAATGAAAAAGTTGAGATCTACTGCAGCATGATATAAATTACATACAAATGGAAAGATATTCTCTACTGAAAATCACAATATGCAATCTCCCTATTACAACATGCCCATCTCTTATATATTTTTCATATGAATAGTAACTGCATTTTAGTCCATCTGTGAGCAGAACATCAGCAATGCTGCACCAAGCGCCTTGAATGCGGAGGCTGCTGAGCTTGTTAATATAACAATTTTCACTGTCACAATCAGAATTCATGCAGGGCTGGACTTCAATAAAATGCTTATCTCACTCAGTCATTAAAATCACTTTTTCCTACCCAGTGGTTTTTGCTTTACAGCAGTCTCCTCTGTACTGACAATATAAATATGGCATTTCAAATTCATTCAAAAGAATTAGTAGAGCATCAACCTTATCACTGAATCTCTTCAGTTCATTTGGTCACACTCCTAACATCTTTTGGGGTGCGTTAAGAAGTGTCACATTTGTTTAGTATAAAGGCTCACATTAAGTACAGAGCTAGTTGTTTTGTTGCTTGGAAGGAATTCCTTACCTCCATTTCCTGCCTTAACCATTCTTCCAACTGTGAATTCTTTTTGGCATGGTGAGATATCAGATCTGATCCTCCAATAATGCGTGGAAGTTGTCCTGCTCCAGGATAAGGTACCTGTTGGACAATAAATATTTGCTGTTATAGCATAGGCCAACAACCTTGCAGGACAAGAATAGCCACAGCTTGTAAATTCACATTGGCAGAATACTTTTCATCCAATTTATCTAACAGTATCTATGCAATGAATAGTTCTTTTTAAATAGCACACCAGCTGCAAACTGCCAATTCTGCCCTATTAGCACACACAAAAAATAGCTGTGACTAGTTCTATTTTAAATCTGTTAAATTAATAAGCTAATTTAAAATGCATTTTGAAAACAGAAACTGACATTTTAAGTTTCTCATCTAGTCTGATGTAGAGAAGAAACTGTAATGCAGAACCTAACAGAATGGAAAGGAGGATACTTTCAAAGGGTACCTCTACACAGCAGCACTATTTTGGAATAACGCACATTACAGTAAAACTCCATTGGTCAGGCATCCATTTCTATTTTATTATGGCAGCATTTAGCTATTGCAAACAGTGCCACCTTGTGGCACTGTAAAATATGCACTCACCTTTTTGAATTTCTTAAAGTTGTTCAGTTGCCCATAATTGGTTTGTGCAGCGACAAGACTATTTGGCCTTGGATGGCTAACCACCAATGATCTAAATTCAGTCAACAAGAGTCTGCTGGGCAGATTGCTGGAATCATCTTGAAGTTGGTCAGTGTTCTTGTGAGAGGAAAAGGGGGAATTAGAAAGTTATTCAGTGACCTAAAAGCCTATGTTTAGGAGACGAGAGAATGTACACTTGACAGGGCAGAAATGGAGGGCAATCATTATCAGAACATAACGGTCTAGATAAGGTTTACAATTTAAAACTAGATTTTTGTTAAACTCAGGCCTGGTCTAGGGATGTGAAAAGTTAACCAGTAAGCATCACCCTTAATGGGTGATGCTTCCCAATTCCAGTAACCAGAGGGGGCTGAGCAGCTCCTGGCTGCTGTGTGTGTAGGGGGCTGCTCCAGCCCCACAAGACCTGCCGAGGACAGGGGCTGATCCGGCCATGGTGCTGGGCTGGAGTGGCCCCTCCGCTCTGTGTCCCATTTAACTGGTTAATCAATTAAACAGGATTTTATATCCCTAGCCTGATCTAAACTTGTTACTATCAGTTGGGAAACTTGGGTCCAGGTGGTTCCACTTATTGCATGTTGTTTAGGGAGGAAACTGCAGGGAGGAATCAGATTTGGACAGATGTCTGCAATGCAGCTAAAAATGCAGTTCACAGTTCTGGTTGATGTACAAGCACTAGCTTTGATCACACTAACATACTAAAATAGTAATGTAACCAAAGCAGTATGGGCATCATGGGCTAGTCTAGGGACACAAATTATGGGGCACCAGAGGAACATTCAGGGGACAGACAGCAATGCCAAGTAGCTCATATTAGCTCTGTGAACTGAGGCCTGGGTCAGCCCCCACAGGAGTCTGGGGAGAGAATGCCAGATACACCCTAACTCACTTTAACAAGTCATCCAGATTTCCACTCCAAGCAGATTCTGTGCCCAAAACTGGCTCAACCCGCAGAGACTATCACACAGATCTTCCACCTCTCTGAAAACCAGAGGTGGGGGGAATAGAGGAACAGGTATTGTACCTGCCCTAGTAGTGAAGACTGCCTGGAAGAACAGATTCTTTTAATGGTAAGGGGTGGGCACAAATGGAAAAGTATGCACATCACTAGACTTGTCGACAGAGTCCATACTTGGGGTCTCAGATGGGACTGTATTCTGGCACTTAGCTTCTGATGCTGCCTGCATTACCATAGATACGTTGCAATTTTTCACCAATTAACTTGTTAACAGCTATCACGTGTATGTATATCTATTAGGGATGTAATAGTGTAGTCAATTAACTGATTAACTGATAAGCAAAAGCAGGTTAACACTATAGACTACACACAACCCTCCCCCCTCACCTGCCAGTAAATTTTTTAGTAGGCTGGCCAGCAGCCTGTCTCAGTCCTCGCTTGTGATGGATTTGGGACCTACCCCTGCTGCAGTTCTGCATTTAAATTATTAGACGGTAGGAGGGCTGGCAGCCTGGCTCAGTTCCAGCTCAGAACCGCCCCTCTCCCAGGTCTAGGAACTCAGAACCTGAGCTGGGGCTACTGCCACCCCTGTATCACAGGCAGCAGCACAGGGCAACAGGCAGCCAATCTATGAGGGGAACTGGTTTTTAAACTGGCTCCCCTTGTGGACCAGCTCCTGACTGGCACTCTGCGCTGCTGCCTCTCATATAGAGGCAGCAGTGTGGAGTGGCAGGGAGATCCTAGGAGTAGGGCCAGATTGCATTGGCTGTCAGCCCTATAGAATAGTTGAGTAACCAATAAGAATTGATGACGTTACTCGACTATTCAATTATCCAATATTTAACATCTCTAATATCTACCTGAGCTGGAAATTACATCTCCAGCAGCAGCATAGATCTTCCCAGAGACTGTAGCCCATAGGAGCATTTGTAGAAGATGCCAAATCAGGGACACCTTTGGACATTCAGGGAACTTTCTATAGTTCTGATTGGGCTTTTTCTGTTCTGTGCTGATTGGCGTTTTGCTTCAACCTCCCCACTCCATCTTCACTCCACACCTGCTCTCAACTTCTCCCCTACCCTGTCCCTTTCACCCTTTCTTTCACTGTCTGCTTCTTCTTTCATTTACTCCTCTCCTCCCCCACCCCAAGGAGTTGATCTTCCAACCCCTTAAAATTATAAAACTAATATAAATTTGCTGCCACATTTTTATTTTGTGCATTATACTCCTTTCCCCACCGTTTTTTTGTCTAGTCTATTTAGATTGTAAACTCATTGGGACAGGAACTCTACTGCTATTTGTACAATGCCTAGCATAAGGCAGCCCTTTTCTTGGTATATGACTACCATTGTAAATATAGTTAATAATAATGTTTTGGTTAAAGGTGTAATTTATTCTACTGTAATAAATTCATGCCAGTGAGAGTCCTACTATGAACACAGTTACACCAATATAAATATGACTTCTCTTCATATCGTTCTCTCCCTTCCCCTATGGTAATAGAAATCTATACAGGGATAAGCACTTTTGTAACAATGTAGCTGCATCCATACAAGTTGGTAGCATGTCTATATATTTTTGACTCTACTGATATAGCTAAATCTGAACAACATTTATGTTAAGATAACTGTTCATGCATCAAACCCTCCTATAGAATCATAGAATTGGAAGAGAACACAGGAAGTAATTGAGTCCAACCCCCTGTTAAAAAAGCAGGTCCAATCCCAACTAAATCATCCCAGTCAAGGCTTTGTTAAGTGGGGACTTAGGTTCTACCACCTCTCTAGGTAATGGGTTATTCCAGTGGAAATATCCACTCGGGATGTGAAAGTTTAACTGGTTACCCAGTTAACTGGTAAACATCATCCTAAACAGAATGGGTAATGCTTACTGGTTCTGGTTAACCAGGAACTGGTTGGGGGCTGGATCGACTCTCTGCCTGCCATGGGATGCTTGGACAGAGGCTTCTCTTGGACAGAGCCTGTGTCTGCAGGGTCTGCAGGGAGCCCAGGCACCCAATAGGCAGGGGCTGCTCTGGCAGGAACTGGGAGCCAGTTCAGGGCTGAGAGCTGCTTCAGCTGGGCTGCAGACGCCGCCTACCTCGGATCCCGGGTAGTTGGTTAACTGGTTAAATGTTAGATCAAACTAAAATTTAACTGGTTAACTGAAATTTTATATCCCTAATGTCCACTGCATGTATAGGAATTTAATTTTAAAAGCAAATAACTGGGATACATTTCCTTCATATTTCTCAGTATTAACTAATGCTAACTGAATAGTTTCTTACCAAAACGGATGATTCTTGCTTGACCTCAATTTGCTTCTTTGAAGTTGGAACAGCTCCAAGTTCATTTTCTTGCTGTTTGACCAAACAATTTAAAAGAACAATCATTGTAAAGGTAAATTATGATTGCATATTTGCAAAAAACAAACAAAATAACCCCCAAAACACCCCACACCTTGGGTATATACTTTAATAATGCATTGTTTAATAAAACCACTGCCCCTATTTTGTTGAGATTATTTTCTGATACTAAAAACTAAAATGTTTTTCCTTAAGAGTTCATAATTCCTAAAATCCTTGCAAGTAACTATTATGAAAATTGCTGGAAATTTTCAGGTGAATGAAACTTATTTTCCTATTTTCAATTACATCCCAGAGTTCAGGAAATAACTAAATGTAATTATCAATTTGGGAGCAATCTTAGGATCAAGGTTAGTCTCCTTACTGTCTGTAGATTATGACGTCTCACAATTTTGCTCAATAGCTAATAACTTCCTCTAAGGCTTTTCTATTCTCCTATGACAGTGTGTTGATGTCGTACATGATGTTTGCTATGAAGAAAATCAGGTGGGGAAAGTGCTAGTATTAACTCAATGTTTCCTAAATTGTTCACTTAAGAAGTGACCCAAAGAATCAGAGTAGATCAAAATTTTGCTTTTTATCTAAAGCACCTTGTCATTTTTGGCTCAATACTATACATTTTCTTTCACACCAGAAAACTAAAGCCTTGTCTAAACTTTTGCCTTTGCCATGTGATCGAAATATCAGTACAGACTGTACCTCCCTTAACTGGAGATCTTGTAGGCCCATGGATGATCCCGGACCACAGAGCCCAGATATAGGGAGGTCTGGCTGCAGGGCAGAAGTGTGTGTGTGTGTGTGTGGCGGGGAGGGGGAGCAGAGTT